GAACTCTTTTTCAGAGCTGCCCGTTTAACCTAACCTAACCTAGTTATTTGTACAATGATTTTTGGTTGTTGGGTCCAAACGCATAACCCGAATCCAGAAACTTTAACATGCACGTGTAATCAAAGGTTTAAACTTTCCCCTTGGGCCTTATTCTAGAACCCAAATTTTCGTAATTCGTAATTCGTAGCTTCGCTACGAAAAACACACATGCTGCAACCCTTGCGGAAACATGTGCAGCATTGCCAGCTATCTGTTGTTTTTCGAAGTTAGCTGAATGAAGGAAAACAAAGAGGAAAGGAANCCTTATTCTAGAACCCAAATTTTCGTAATTCGTAATTCGTAGCTTCGCTACGAAAAACACACATGCTGCAACCCTTGCGGAAACATGTGCAGCATTGCCAGCTATCTGTTGTTTTTCGAAGTTAGCTGAATGAAGGAAAACAAAGAGGAAAGGAATTAAAAAACACTCATCATGTGCTTGTTTATTGTAAAATTGGTTAATTTTACATATTTCGAGGAAAAGATCGCATTCCGTACAAATTTTATAAATATGCTCCGCAAAGTTTCCTAAATGAGGTTCTCTCTTTACTTAATTTTATTTTTCTTAAAAAACAGATTCCATCTTCGTTCCGCTCTTCTGTAATAAACCTGTTCAAAAGGGGTGACCTTGTCTCCCGTCTAATTTTAGGGGGCTATCTCTACTGGATACGTTGTATAAGATATTCACCGGCGTCTTATTAAGCCGTATTAATGCGTGGATTGATTGCAATATTATTCTAGCAGAATGCCAAGCAGGTTTTCGTAAAAACTATTCAACCGTTGATAATATATATAATCTGACAAGTATTAATTTAAACTTTGTCGCAAAAAAGAAAACTTTTATATTCTTTGTGGACTTTTCATGTGCCTTTGATACTTTCCCCCATACGGTCTGTCAAGTCATATGACTGATATTTTACGTCTTATATATCCNCTATTCAACCGTTGATAATATATATAATCTGACAAGTATTAATTTAAACTTTGTCGCAAAAAAGAAAACTTTTATATTCTTTGTGGACTTTTCATGTGCCTTTGATACTTTCCCCCATACGGTCTGTCAAGTCATATGATTGATATTTTACGTCTTATATATCCAAATACTACGAGTCAGGTGTGGTTCAATGGAAAGCTGTCGAGCTCCTTTTCGGTTAATCAAGGTGTCCGCCAGGGATGCTTTTTAAGCCCTTTGCTTTTCTCCCTGTACCTTAATGACTTGATTGATAATCTCCCGGGTGGCGTTAAAGTTGCGGGCATGACGATCAAGCTCTTAATGTATGCCGATGATCTGAAAGATGATTGAATTGAATTGAATTGAATTAGCTGAGTCTGCTTTAGATTTACAAAACATGATAAATGCATTGCATGAGTACTGCATGCTGTGGGCATTAAAAGTAAACCTATCTAAATCAAAAGTCCTTGTCTTTAGAAAGGGTGGCAGACTTTCGGCAGACTGCAGGTGGTCTTTTGGAAATGACCCAATAGAAACTGTAAATGAATATAAGTATCTTGGTATAATGTTAAACCACAGACTTTCCTGCACTAAGCACTTAGACACAAAACTTAGCGGGGCGAAATCTGCAATATGCGCTACTTGGTTAAGTTACATAAACAACCCCCGAATTCAAATTTCGAAAAAAATTAAAATCTTTGATGCGGCTTCAAGATCAATTATGTTCTATGGTGCACAGGTGTGGGGTGGGGAAAGTCATGAACAGGTGGAAAAACTTTTGCGTTTCTTTATAAAGAAGCTTATATTCTTGCCTGCGAACACGCCAAATTATATGTTGCATTTGGAAACGGGTATAGTCCCCCAGTACTTCCACACACTGCGCGCTCATATGTTATTTATAACACGTTGCCTTAGTTTACCTACAAGTAGACTTCCGCGTGTCCTTGCCGACGAGTCCATACGTCAACAGGTACCTTGGGTCAGAAATTGGAAGCGCTTATCACTCANTGCACAGGTGTGGGGTGGGGAAAGTCATGAACAGGTGGAAAAACTTTTGCGTTTCTTTATAAAGAAGCTTATATTCTTGCCTGCGAACACGCCAAATTATATGTTGCATTTGGAAACGGGTATAGTCCCCCAGTACTTCCACACACTGCGCGCTCATATGTTATTTATAACACGTTGCCTTAGTTTACCTACAAGTAGACTGCCGCGTGTCCTTGCCGACGAGTCCATACGACAAGAGGTACCTTGGGTCAGAAATTGGAAGCGCTTATCACTCAGCGCAGACTTGGAACCCCTTACGGAGTTTTCTCCTACGTTCCTTAAAGTGTTTACCCCCTTGTTGCTTAGTAAACTTGTCGAAAAAGAGTTCAAACTTTATGTTGAGCGCGCCTAAAGTTCTAGCACACATGACCTTTACCCACATTTAACGCCCGTAGGGGTTAAATATTTCAACGACGAGCACTCTTCGTATGCTATTAGCTNAAATACTACGAGTCAGGTGTGGTTCAATGGAAAGCTGTCGAGCTCCTTTTCGGTTAATCAAGGTGTCCGGCAGGGATGCTTGTTAAGCCCTGTGCTTTTCTCCCTGTACCTTAATGACTTGATTGATAATCTCCCGGGTGGCGTTAAAGTTGCGGGCATGACGATCAAGCTCTTAATGTATGCCGATGATCTGAAAGATGATTGAATTGAATTGAATTGAATTAGCTGAGTCTGCTTTAGATTTACAAAACATGATAAATGCATTGCATGAGTACTGCATGCTGTGGGCATTAAAAGTAAACCTATCTAAATCAAAAGTCCTTGTCTTTAGAAAGGGTGGCAG